AGGCTCATTAAATGCTGGATTAATCCTGGTTTAATTGCTCTTGAAAAAATACAAACGAAACACAACAAATAATCATTAAAAAAACTTGCAATCATGTTCCGTTTCAGAATAATATTAATAATTAATCCATCCATCCATTATCTCACTCGTTGTCCCAATCGTGGTCGCAAGGGGCATTGGTGCCTATTTCCTGCAGTCAATGGGCGAGAGGCGGGGTACACCCTGGACAGGTCGCCAGTCCATCGCAGGGCAACACAGTACGGTGGCCCTGAAGTGCAAACTGCAACTACAAATCTAAAAGCGCAACATTAAGGAAATCGCAACTACATAAAACAAAGCGCAACTACATTAAGAAAAACAAAACTACATAAAGCAAAGCGCAACTACATTAAGAAAAACAAAACTACATAAAGCAAAGTGCAACTACATTAAGAAAAACACAATTACATTAACCTACCGGAAAAGGTAGGTACCAGTGGGAAACATGAGACATCGCTGATTGGACGACGGCGCCGTTTGACCCTTGAACCGGAAGTTGCGTCGTCTGAACAGCCCAGCTTCTTTTATTTATTTTTTAAATTATTTTTTTTTATTTTTATTTTTAATTGAAAACTTCAAAATTTACAGACAAACATGGCCGCATAGAGTTCGTTTCTTCAAGTCAGGTTACATAGAAAATATAGCCAGGGGGAACATCTCTTCACACAAATTGAAATATATCTATAACAGAGTTATAGTTTTCAAATAATGCGTGCGTGGCATTTTAGCCCCGGTACAAGCAAACTGCCAGTGACAGACGGGGAGACCTGATGCGATGCAGGACCTGAGGACCAAACGATTGATTGCAAATTCATTAGAGGGGGAGTGTCAATATATTCATGCCTTGTTTCACTATTTACTGCTGAAAAATTAGGGAGAACATGAAGATTATTTATTTTACTACTGGATTTTCTTTTTTATATTTGAAAAATATTGCAGGAATAATATTTTCTTCTTCTATTGGGCCCCCCTCAGTTAAGGGCCCTTAGAATCATCCTAACTTCCCCCCCTATACAGCACCCCTGGTTGTCATACCACTTGACAATAACCATGTTGTGCTCTTTATCCACCCTTGTATCTATTTATCTTATTGTGACAAATATGTCACATGATTTTTTTTTTTTTTCACAATTTTGAGTTCAATATCCGATATAATATTTAACCAATCAATAATTCATAAAAATATTTTAGAAATGCAGTCAAATTAGGTTATACTTGTTACATAGATTGTTATCTAGGGACTAAAATTGCGGAGCCAGAGAAAACTTACCATTGCACGAAGAAAACAGTTTTACTAAAATTAGTGTCACTGGCCATCTAATGTGTCCTCTAAACACATTTAGAAATGATGTAGTCTGTACCCCCACTAGCCACATGACTGAATCAGGATGTTCAGCGGACATCACTTTGGGACCTGATGAGTGAAAAGTCAATATTAAACCTGAAAAAAAAAAGTTTTCTTAACGCACAAAGGGGCGGTAACACCGATGTCACAGTGGGTCCTTAACCTAAACACATATCGGTTAAATCCTATAAACCCACAAGTGTCCTAAAACCACACATCCACATCCTTTAAGATATTTACAATTTTAAAAATAATATTTAAAGAGGGTGAACTTTCTTTTGCATGATCTGAGCTTCAACATTAGTGTTGGGATGAAAACTTCAGGAAATCCACGATGATTCAGCAGGCATGGTATGTGTTTCCTACTTGGTGTTTATTGAATCAATGTTGCTGCCACCATTGCAGAGCTAATCAGCAGCAGGTTGGTTTGAAGGAACATACAGCTTGACTGAGACGAGAACCTTTTGGACCCTGGCTTTGTGAAATAAAAGTTATGAAATTTGAACGGATTAATCCTGCTTAGAATTGTTTGGAACATCTGGGAAATAAGTTGACTGCAGGAAGAAGGTGTATTATCATGACTCACGGGTCCTGCCAATAAGTCAGGCTTCCTGATATAACCCATGTGTGTTTCTTAAACAGTAGAGTAGACCTTCTCAAAACTACCCCAGAATATTGGAATGGATTGAGAAGTGTATCAAGAAATCCACCCGGAGTTCAACTTCTTTCAATATTCAATTTCTAGGCGACCACAAGGCAAAAGTGATAAAGAAATGGCTTAAAGATCAAAGCAAAAATGCTTGGCACCAAACACCGGTAGGGCAAACATGGGTCAGTAAAGATGTTCCCCAAAAGTTAGATTACAGAAATTATAAACAAAAGAAACTGACATTGTTATTTTAACATTTTCCTGACTTTAAAAAGGACCGGGAAAAAAAAGAAAAAAGCTTTTCTTTTTGCAGCAGTAATGGTCTGTCTAGATGGAAGTGAAAAGCCATTGTAAAGGTTTTACTTCAGGGACTGAAAAACATTTTTGTTTTTAAAAGTATTTATCACAACACTAGATAAAAAACAACATGGAACAAAAAACATAAATAGAAAGCAGGAAAGAAGACCACTAAGACAAAAAAACATACAAACTAAACTTGGGATTAACATATTTACACTTGTTGAAACCTAAATAAGTGCTGCAGTTAAAAAAAAAAAGAAAAAAAAATCCTTTTGTAGAATTTTTTGCATGCATTTTTTTTAAGAAATGCCCATTAAATATTACTACAAAAACCACTGACCAGTTCAGGGTGAATCTACACTGTACCAACAGTAAAACGAATAACCACAACATCTGCATTTTCCAGATAAATACAAACTAGATTTTCCTAAATCTTTGCTAATAAGTAAATGCAGATATTTACTCGTTCATGTTGTCTACATTAAATGTATAGTGAACCATCTGCTTTTGTATTTTAGTGCCAGGGGGAACATCCTATCTACTAGCCTGCTCTTGCTGTGCATGTGCACTTTGGTTTCAGCCTGCTCCAACTCTCCCTGTATAACTTAGAAAATGGCTGAGAGTCACAAGAAGCAGACTTATACGTTTATCTAGTCTATATGAGATACTTCTTTACATGCTGGTGGAAGAGCAGGAAGAATTGTCCCCTATATTCACACAGGTACTGTATACAAAAAAAGATTTTAATATTTATTACCTATATTAATGGAAAATTGCCCACTACACTTTTATCTATAATTGTTCTGCATCAAATTCATGTATGCATGCAATAATACATACAGTTTAGTTGCTATTTATCTCTAATTACATAGAAAACTCATAGATGACAGCAAAGACATATAACTTTCTCTTCTACTGAATAAAAGACAAAAACTAGTTTTGAAAAGAGCATGGATTCTGTATCCATCATATTTAATGTTAGTATGTTGATGTGAGTAATTAACTACTTTATTTTGCTTCTTATTATTTTTAATATATGAACAATTAATATCTGAAAATAGTAGAGTATCACTGCTGCCACCCTCTGCTTATGAAGGAAACTGCCTATGAATTAAGCAAATATGGGGACCGCCTGGTATGGGTGGCAAAAAGTAGCCAAGGGGCAACCCCAGGTCCCCCAGCTAGCTCCACCCCTGATATTATACACATTTTAGCAGCTTAGTTATTTTTTTTTTTTAACTAACAGTTATCAAGCTTTGACCTATATCTATACTTGTTACATTTTCATTTTTTTCACGCGAGTTAAAAACTTTTTTCTTTCTAATTTGATTTTATAACATCCTTAAAACTTTTTTTTATAGTATCCTTTTTTAAAGTATCACACTTTAAGGAAATGTTACTTCAGTAAGATTGGGAAACATTCTCAGACTTAATAGGACAATGGAATGATCAAAGTAAAGAAAACTTTTTAGAACCTGCATTGGGACTGGGACCGAGGATCACATCCAGCAGGGCAATAACCAATGAAGATTCTCATAAAAAAAAAAAAAAAAAAACGTAGAGCAGTCTGGTACGCAAGAGGATTAGGGCCACTGGAAAAAAAAAAGTTAACTGATTTTAAAATTTTATTTCAGTATAATATCAGAAAAAAAGTCAGAATTCTGACTTTTTTTTCTCACAATTTTTACTTTAGTCTAAGAATTCTGACTTTTTTCCTCACAATTCTCACTTTAATCTCAGAATTCTGACTGAATTCTGACAGCTAACCAAACAGGTTAGCATCAAGCCATAACCATGTCTGTTTTAGAGACTAGCTCTCTTGTTTTAATCACCATTGCGTTTCTATTAATGAAATAGCATCACTGGGGGCCCCTCGGGCACGTAAAAAGTGACCTTATTCCGTCATTTTCCACCAATGTGTCACTGGCCCTCTCAAACAACTCACATCTTTGACAGTGAAGCTGAATGCTCCAACATCTCTTCCTTAATGGTGCCCATCTACATCAAGACCCAAAATTAAGGTTTTTAATTGAGATTAAAGTCAGAATACTGAGATTAAAGTCTGAATTCTGACATTAAAGTCAGAATTCTGAGAAAAAAAAGTCTGAATTCTGAGAAAAAAGTCTGAATTCTGAGATTAAAGTCTGAATTCTGAGATTAAAATCAGAATTCTGAGATTTAAGGTCAGGATTCTGGGGGAAAAAAAGTCTGAATTCTGTGAAAAAAAGTCAGAATTCTGTGAAAAAATTCTGAATTCTGAGATTAAAGTCTGAATTCTGAGATTAAAATCAGGATTCTGAGAAAAAAGTCTGAATTCCGACTTTTTTCCCCATATTAAACTGAAATAATATTTAAAAATCAGTTACCTTTTTATTTTCTATTTTTCCATGGCCCTAATCCTCTTCCGTGGTCTGGTAACTAGTTAACTACCAAGGAAATCTTTTGACAAACAGTTGTGAAAACACACAGAAAATGTATGCTTGTGTAAAGCCTGCATTAAAAGGCCAAATAGCCTCTGACAATAACCTGAACATCCTTTCAGACCAACATTCCGCCATATTAAAATCATTACAAACACAACCGCGCCATCTACTGGTTCAACAAAAACATTGCAGGTCACGTAAGTAGCAGGGACTCGTGTGGGCGTGACCGACCGGCTTCACTCCAACAACAGCCAGTAAGGTCGCTCGACAGGCACCAAGTGAAAGACTGAATGCAAGTCATCCTGAACACAGCAGTTTGTCAACAGTCGTGCTCTCAGTGTGTTTATATCTAGCTGTGAAGGTTGTAGAATACTATTTGCTCACTAGGCTGATACAGCTCTTTTTTTTCATTTTGACGCAGCATAAACACTGTTTATAAACCGTTAGCTTAGCAACCGACAGCCACATGGATCCTCAAAACAGCAACATGAACGTTGAGGGGAAGGGGCTGCTTAACCACAGCAAGACTCTCCGACTCCACACCGGGAATCTAGTCAACCGGAGCAGACTGAAGAGGAAGTGTCCAGGCTCTCCCAGCGAGGAGGTAAGAACAGCCAAGCTACCTGTTAGCCTGTTAGCTTAGCTGCCAACTTAGGCTAAGCTACTAAATCATTTAACCTGATAGGTTAAATAATTATTTATTTATTTTTTTATTAAATATATATATATATATATATATATATATATATATATATATATATATATATATATATATATATATATATATATATATATAAACAATAAGAGTTAAAAACTTTACATCTATCAATATGGATCCATGTGTTTTAATTGAATTTAACAGTTTCAGGTTATGTATTAACAATTACACTGAAATCATGTCAGGTTGAAGTGAATAGTTTACAGACTAACGTCTGATCAATGATTATTGGAGGCATACTCTGAAGTTAGAACAACTTAGATTAAAGAGGAACATATAATTTACTGTTCCCTTAACAAATGTAAATACTTATGAATATTGTGACCAACAAGAGTGTCTTTATTTTAATAAGATGACCATTATAATTCATTCATTGAGGAGTTCTAGACATAAAGGGGTCAAAATGTCAAACATTCAGACTTATTTTAAGTCAGCTACATCAAAAAGACTTAGACAACTTTTATTGTCATTTTGTATAAAAACGAAATTTCGTTTTGTACAGCTTTCATGACCTTTCTATTTCTTTAAGTGCAGCAGTGATCAAATGTAAACAGTGTGGGAGAAAAAAAAACACTGTGCAGAAAACATGCTTACAAGCTGTAAATGATTATTTTTTGTTTCTCAGGACCAGATCAAACCACACTGAAAATAGCCGAGCATTTTTCACACCTAGTAATATAAAGACGGGGCTTTGTGCTCAACCTGTCTGCTTTACATTATTTAGTGGGTACTGTTCTTCTTATTTACAGGTAACACTCCCCTGTATACATTTCAGACATCTGTGGTATGTCTGATTATACATGATGAGTAGGAGAGATATTTATATGCCTACTAGAACAGATCATTGAATGGTAAGAAGGAAAAGAAGATACTTAACACGAGGAGGAATAAACAAAAGAAGATGTATTAAGTGTGTTGCAGAAAGCAAACCAAAGCAGAAATCTGAGGATGGCACAGCTCCTATGAAGACTGATGCTCAACTTTTACACAATCAATTAAAGTGCTACGTCAGCAACTTGATGTTTGGTTTGCCAAAGCCACATTAGCTGAGCACAATAACCTCAACATGACACGGCTTCCTTAAATTATCAAAACTTTGATTTTATTCTTGCCTCTCATCTCTTCTACAAGCTGAAAACTCGCCTTTAACACAAGTAACTGGATGCTCGGCAGCAGTCAGGTTGCCTGTCATCATTTTTATTCTATAGGCAAACTACTCTTTACTAAGAGCCTATTTTTTGTGTTATATTCCTATTTTCCAATGGGCTGCATGTTTGGTATAAATGTAAACAACAAATATAAACGATAATCTGAATGTAGGAGTTCAATTGAATTCTAAAAATAAACCTTTTTTATGCCATTCAAAAATTTTATTTTTAATACATAATTTAATGGTGAACTGATAAAAAATTAGTAGGCGTACGTTTAGTATTTACCATTTGAAATGGATCTGTTTATGATTTATGATACTTTTCCCTTCGGTTCGTCAATCAAATCGGCTGCTGACAGATTTTATTATGGGCATATATGGTGCCTGTTTACAAAGAGGGATTGGTTTAGGTTATTTTGACTATTCATTGTGTTGCTGTTGTGTTTGAAGTTTATTTTCTGCACCATGACACAGCAGTTAGTGTTCCTGTCATACTAGCTTGCTCTTTGGGCTTATAATTCCTTATCAAGGACAAAGGTTGCGGTGTACTCACCTCAGTTTAAAGTAATGAGACGGCACTTTTCATCTGTTTACCTGCTCACGCAAAATATCTCTATTGTGCAGAAGCAAGTTTTATTTTGATCCTTCTTCAGTGGTGTAGTCACTCCAGTAAAACAGAACAATATTCCCATTATTTTAATTATTCTTAGCTTTGCTTTTCCTTCTTCTGCTGTGACTCTTGAAACTGTCCTTGACAAAATAACTTAAGCTCTGTCCCTTAGAACTGGGTCAGCTCCTCTGCTTTATCCATATATAAAATATATTTCTGTTGTGTTTTGCTAAGGATGGTACAGCTTGATTTCCTTGTTTATAACCTGTTATAACCTATGCACTCTCTGTTGCTGGGTTTTCTGTATTACCTGATTTTTGTTTTATTTTTCAGCTAAGAGACTGCATCCAGGCCACACTGAGTGACTGGTTGTCGACAGCTAAAACTACAAATGCAGTGAGTAGAAGGCTTTTGTTTTTTGTTAAGAAAATAATATTTGCATCGAGATGGTTGTACGGTCACATGAGCAGCTTGTGCACGGTGTGCAGCTGTGCCATCGGCTATTTAGATTCCAGCGTTTTTTGTTTTTTTTAAGGCGAAATAACAGCAGTGATGCAGATCAAAGCCCGCTGGCTTTCAGGACAGAAGCTGTCAGAGTCGATGTTCATGCAGCGCTGCCTACCAATGGCCCTGTTCCCTCTGTGCATCCTGCTGGTGGTTTAAAGAAGTGTTTGAGGGTGAAAATCCTTTCCTACAAGAGTTTTGAAATTCCTCTTAAATGGCAATACTTAAAAAATGATCCCATTAACAAATATCTCATAAAAAGACTTAAGTCAAATTAAATAGGCTACAGGATATTGCCATGAACTGGATATTTTGCTGAGCTCAGCTAATCTGCCTCAGCTTTTATCATCACACTCTGCTGGACATGGAGGGCCTCTGAATAGCTGATGTAAAAGGGTGTTATCCCCTCTGAAAGCTTGTGCAACAATTTTCCTGCAGGGAAATTTGGGGAATTTGTTATCAGAAAAGTCAAGGGATCAGATTTTACTTGAATGTTTGGGGCCAACGTTTGTTTGGTGTCTCAGCATAATGTGCAGTGAAGGTTAAGAATTTACACACTAAATGTGTTTCCTTTGTTAATAACAGCTTAGTAAAGGTTGACTCCTTTAACCAGTTTGAGAGTTATTGCTAACATATGGAGGTTTTGGGTGTTTCAAAACCTGCATATGTTAGCTTATTTTGCAGGCGACTGCAGGCTAGTTGGAGCGTGTGCTCACCTTCATGCAAGCAAAGGAAATTATAGAGAAGCGACTATGTAGCAACAAAAATGACCTATTATTTCCTATTATTTCTGCCGGTTAAATTAATTAAGTGTTTTAACCAGGTGTTTAAATGGCAAAGAAAAAAACTCTTACAGTTGTGTGCATAGGCTTTAAGATATTTCCTCTCCAACAGGACTTTCCAGATACACTTGACTGCTCCATTCCAGAGGCAACAGATGCTATCACGCCTGAAGAAAGAGATGAAGTCAAAGTTTCAGGTCAGAACTGCTTTGATCGGTTTGATTTTCAACCCAAAATTGTAGTTTATTTCAGTACAGACATTTATGTCCCTAATAAGCAAAATAAAATCCAGTCTTTCACTTTTTTGCTAAATAGTAGTAAAGAATCGTCAGTCTGGACAGTTGACTGTTGAAGCAATTTTCTCTATTGTGGAGAAACCAGTTCCTTCATTAATAAATATATCTAAATAAATTTGGGCACACCAGGTTTAACTAGTTAATAGAGGACAGCATCCTCATGTTGTTTTGTTTTTTGCAGTGAAGCTCTTCCTCTGTGAGTCGGACCAGTCAGCTATCAGAGATGCGGTAGAAAGGGGTGAGCTTAATATTCCTTCGATAAAATCCCCACATGCTTTGCTGTGCCATTGGTTTTTGTTTTTATTATCCAAATCGTTTCCTCAACTCCAGCTTGCCAGACATTGGCAGTGTCCCAGCTCGACTCTGTTATCATAGCACCTTCTGGGCCTGTGGAGGGCGACAACCAGACTTTGGCTCACCTGCAGCCGGCGTGGGAGGAGCTGGAGGCTCTGGTCAGGAAGCAGAAGATCGCGGCCATCGGCACGTCAGATCTGGATAAAGATCTGCTGGAGCAGCTCTACAACTGGGCCCAGGTAGATGGATCGGCAATGGGCCGAAATAAAGAAATAATACTTCTCTTTCAGAAAGATATTGAGTTTTCTTTCTTTTCCTTCTCTTTATGCATGCTTATTTTCATTGGTATTTAACCCTTAACAGCTTGGGAGCAGAATTAGCTGCTGTTTCAGCAAATATCATTTAAAAGGATTCAGGGGAGAATTTAAAATTACCAGCTAACCAGTCCATAGGGCGACACAGACTAATCCAAAATAAACAGCCATACACTCACTCAGTTTTTACATATACAAATAGATTCCGGCTACGTGTTTAAGACTTATGTTTACCCAGACACAAGTGGAAACTCCATTGGATGTGAGTTGAAGAACCTCTTAAATGAGGCGTGTGAAAATAAAGACTCAGCGGATATTTATGCTTTATGTGCAAAATCAGACGTCTGTTAACTTTGTGCACTTCTGGAATGATTCAGATATACGGTTAGAGGTAATGAATGCAGAAGTGTTCTGGGGACTGGGGGAGACTGGAGCATTTAAATTGAATGTATTTTTATTTAGAAAACTACAACAAACAAAGAGGAAAAATAATTTTTTGCACTCTGGTTATTATGCTTCAAAACTCTTATTTGCAGAAACCACACATTTCATTTCATCTGAATCTGCGTCAGAAATGATATGCAGACAGCAGTAGGTCGTCTCTGCATCTTTCTAAACATAATGAGACTGCATAGGCTGGATGTGCATTAGGGTGTTCCATGTCGGGATATGTAAATACATCAGGAAACCACCAATCCCTCATTATGCCAGCTTTACATCTGTTCCTAACCCCTATGTTAGAATGCATGAGTCATCGCAGGCCAACCCTGCTGTAGTGTTCAGTAAAAGCCTTTTACTAATCTCGCATTTATGGTCATGTATAGACTGGATCTGGTTCAGCTAGCATGACTCAGCTCACAGTTCCCATCGTTCTTGGTGTTAGAGCCACATCCAACCGCTTATAGATAAGACGGCGCATTGCTTCTTGCTGTTAATTCTTTAAAGACCTGCAGAAGCTCATAGCATTGTACTGTTAAGATAACCATAAAAAAATAGGAAGCTATACTTACCTAAAGCCAATAAAATGTATGCTGTCTTTGTTGCATTTTTAGTTCTTCACTGATGAGGATAATGTTGCTTATATTGACATTAATAACATGTTAGATTAAAGCTCGACCCTTTCTCTGCAAGTTCTATGACCTATTGTACAATTCTGGTTTGAATGTCAGAAGTTACCTGATTGGGTAACTTCAAACATTGGGATTAATGGATTACATTCTTTTAATATGTAGAATAAATGACAGCTATCCAAAATGGCCTCCAAGTGTCCCCAATGTGTAGAAACAGGGATGTCAGCTAAAGTTTTGCTTCCCTTGCAGTAGAATTGCTGGTTTGTTTTTGTTATATTTTACATGGATCAGTAGTTTTCATACATTTTGTCATTTACTTTTTGTTCCCTGATATAATATACTTATCAATATTACTTGATCAAGACTTTCCTAGCGTTCTACAGTGAGTAATAGAAGCTAGTATGATTCATGCTATCGTATCAGTTCTATATCAGTAATGGAGATATATATATCTTTATTGTTTAGTGTTACTCCACAGCATTGCATCCTTGTTAATATGCATTTAAAAATCAAACTTATTCCTACAACGGGCATTTTCTTATATTTCCAGCGTTTTTTATTGTCATTACACTGTCACAAGTATAGAGCAAAGAAATTAACTCTGCATGTAACCCATCCCCTTGGGGACCAGTGGGCTGCCATTGTGTGATAGGGGTTAAGGGTCTTGCTCAGGGAGAGTCCGTGGGAGTGGGGCTTGAATTCAGAACCTACGGATTCCAAGCGCAACGCCCTAGACCACAACTCCCCAAAGCAGGCATTGGTGTAAAGGGTCTTGCCTAAGGACCCACACTGGCAGCTCATTCCCCCCCAGCTGAGATACAAACCCAGGCTTCCTGTTTGCGGGACGGGTGACTTACTACTTGAGCTAGCCAGCCGCTAAACTTACGAGCCAATGTGCCATACCTTTGGTCTTATATTTTACGGTTACTAGTTTGTAGTTTTTCCAAGATCCTTGCAGTCTCACATAAAAATTATATTTTTAGTAACATTTCTCCTTTTTAATAAGAATTTTGGATCTAAAAATAATTGGGAAATTTCCAAGGAAATTCAGTCTTGAAAAGTAGGACTTCCCAAATTCAAACTATGAAGTAACCCTGTTAGGATTCTGTTTTGATCAGTCGTGTGTGAAATAAAAGCTACTTTCCTGTTGCGGAGCAGGTGAAGCCCAGCAGTAACCAGGTGAACCTGGCCTCCTGCTGCGTGATGCCTCCTGATCTGACGGCCTTTGCCAAAGAGTTCGACATCCAGCTGCTCACACACAATGACCCCAAAGGTAAAGTATACTGTATTCATTAAAAATACTATTTACCAGAGTTTGAAATACTTGTGATGTAAATTTTCAATTACAAACTAGGGATATTTAAAAGGACGGTGTGTTTAAACAAAGTGGTTTGCTTTACTTTTTGTTTTTTTATTATTGATTTAATAAATGCGTATCCTGCAAAAGTCTGTTAAGATTACATAAAAAAATGTAATCAAACCTAGAATTAGTAGTCTCTAAACAAATAGGGGGTGTTTCACCTAATAGAAGATGCCCGGTTGTGTCGCAATTCTTGAAAAGAGCAGCCAAAAGGGGACAATTTTTTCAGACTTACCGGTAGACATTTTAAATGTATCTGAACACGTGTTTTCAGTGAGAGAGGAGTTTAAAAAAAACTGTAGATCTTTCTAATTTTCACATTCTGCTGCAATGGAGGACAATTCGTACTCTTTGTCCAATGAGAAACAAACCAGAAAAAGAACAAACAATCAGGATAATGTAACAGACGATTTAATCCAAGCTTTTTATTTAGATGCATTCTTTTTTTTTTTAACAAAAAAAATAAACAAAGTAGGTTGAGGCAAATCACCTTTTAATGAAGCATACAGTTGTACTTAAAGTTAAGATCCCATTAAGAAAAATGATAAACTCACAATAATAATTCAAATGACAGAAAAACTGGAATAGAAATAAAAAATAGAATTCTATAAATTCTAATTTAGTTTAGAAATATAGATTTTTGTGTGCTATAACAGGAATAATTTTCTTTGGTATTTAGTGAGAGAAACACTCAAAACAAAACCTTTGGTTTGTAAGTTTTAAGGGTTGTAAGGCTTTTGGATAAAATGGCAGAAAAAGCTAAATAAACATGACATGGGAACTAGTAACCGAGTTACAAAGTTATAGAGAAAAGCTTCTTTAAGCAAAGTGACCAAAGTTTGTTACCTCATGGATAAATAACCCCAGCTATAGGACCAATCCATATCTTCCTTCTGTGTTTTTTTAGTATTACCTTGCCAATCACCCAATGAAATATCAATGTTTCTCTATTCTACCATGATATCCTTAACTTTAAGGTGATGACATGTTTCTGGGTATATTTTAGAGTTTCAGAGCACCAACAATCCCTAAAATGCATAAACTCAGATTCAAATGGGTTTGGTCGCAAATGTTCACTGCCATGCAATAATTTTCTTTCTGTGATGTTTCTAATAGAATTTTTGTAGTCTTAACAATTCAGATTGAGGCTTTCATGTTGCTTCATGTTTGTATTTGTTAAATACACAGTTTCTGCAAAATCAGGGCCTTAAAATTACAGTAATTGTGGTCCTCAACATGTCTTTACAATATAGATTTTGTTCTGTACTAGACCTTAAATAGCATTTACTTATGTCCTTAATATCTTATCTGATTTATTTATTAAAAATTGTTCCATAAACAAGTTTTTTTTTGTGTGAAAATGAACTAGTGGCATTAGTCAGTTCCATGATAAATGGCTCTGATTGTGTTGTTATTGCAGGAAAGCAACCTCCTCACTCAAAGTGAGAACTGGAGCTGTAGTTCTAAGATAAACAATCTATATTGATAGATAATATCTTGTTGCTCTTCTCCTAGAGCTGATGTCGGCAGCCGCATTCCAGGAGGCAATGCAGGAAGGAGCACCTGGTCTGAGCACCACCAACTGGAGGCTCGATTGGGTCCTTCGCTACTCTGTTATCGTTAAGAGCCGCGGCATTATAAAGTCAAAGGGTTACCTGGTCAGTGCGAGGAGGGCGAGCCCGTAGTACCCAAAGCAAGAGGGAGAGGACGGTAGAAACACGGATGAAGCCATTTTCCTCAGTTGTCATTCTCACATCGAAAGTTACAGCTTTGATTAATGGACACTGCAAGTCATGAAGTGATTAAAGTAATTTATCTTCCTGATATTCCCAGTCTCTAATTCTGACAGATGCACTTAGTTGTTACCAGTATCTCTGTAAAGTAACACAAACACTTGGTGAATCATCACCATCAGCAGCAGTGCTCTCGCAGCCAACCAGAAACAGCACATGATGAAAATGTCAATGGGAACCATTGATTGAAGGTTGCTTCATTGTGTCTTGGTGTAAAGTGCCTCTCTACTGCCCCCCTCTGTTTTTACACTTACCTGTTTCCACTTGATCTGCGGGAAGGCTGGTTTGAGTTTTGCTCTGAGTAAAAATATTACTGGTACTGTAAATAAAAGAAAGGTTTTAACAAATGTTTTTCTAGTTTTGAACATATCGAATGTAGATTAAAAAGAAGCTGTCATATCTGAAATTGGGAAACACTTTTTTTTTTAGCATTTCGGATAAAACAATTTTCATTCCATTAATTTAGAAACATGCTCAAATTGAAACCCAAATTCAGCGTGTAATTTTTTTCTATTTTTCATGATTACATTTACGGTAAATGTGCAGCTGCATACATAGAAATGTTTCATTTATCATGCTTTCCAACTGATTTTGTAGTTGCAGTGACACTTTTAATCAGACCATACACAGAAGAATAATCTGAGGTAGAAAAAAGCACTATTATGAGATTAACTAGCAGGCTTTTGACCTTTATATGTTATGATTATAGCACTGTAGAATCTACACAAACATGTGCAAATTCTGTTTTTATGTTATTAAATACGACTGTTTTTCCATCAACTCACTGTAAAAAAACAAACAAACTCAGTTTTATCAATATATTTAAAATGCTATATCTGTATATTATGAAACTGGCTTTATTAAAGTGATGAAAGTGTGTTTTTGACCTATTAGTCTGAATTTAAAATAGATTTTTATTAACTACTGTTTATTATATTTTCCACTGCCTTATTTTTATTGTTTTTTATTACTTTTTTTTTGTTTTGTTTTTTGTCTTTCATGCATTTGTCCTACATTTTTTTTATCATTTCCTTCCTCGTGTCCTTCCTCTCTTCCTTCAGGCTTTGCTCTTTTCATATACAATATTTAGAGCCTGTCCACTGTGGAAATATCCTTAAATATATTCATGGTGAAATTTAATATTTCAGGTTTTAAAAAAAAATACATGAGGACCAAAAATTGAAAAGCACTTAACTCCGTGCTTCATTTAATCGGTATATATATATTTTTTCATTTAAGACTTTATTAGTGTTATAACCAACAGAAACAGAAAATAATCCATCTTGGTATGATTGCCATTTTGTGGAGAAGTTACATGACACACTAAAAACCTTAAACGACACAGATACAAGCTTAAAGAAAACTGTATTCAAGAATGTATTTACTGCAAGGATCATTTTATTTTACCTCCAGTCACTTATATCTTGTTAGATATAAAATGTTTATATAAAGTAAAATAATAAATTAACCTATGCAGCTTTCAACCTTTACATTTAAGTAAAAAAAACGAATCTTCAGAGCATAAATCTCAACTCGTAAGATAGTGTTTATCCTCAATGCAATTTAAAATGTTTTACAGGAAAGCAAAGACATAAAGTTGTTCTCAAGTTTGGAGCCAATGGTTTCAGTTCATTACAGATTTTAAAGAGAAAATAGGTTTATTAAAGAGTTGAAGAGCACAAAATTGACATACATCTGATAAAAGTACAGTCTGTTTTGAATTCTGCAGGAGTCATTTTAAACTTCATTATGCTTAGTAAAAAAAAAGTTTTTAAATTCCTTATCAAAAGGAGTGTTGGTTGAAGTCCTCAACAGAATTACTTGAGTAAAGGTATTAATACTCAAAGTCAATTCTTATTAGGCTACAAGTAAAGGCTACCTGGTCAAACATCTACTCAGGTTAGAGTATGGAATGACTTACTTTTGAAAATGCTTAACTATTCATTAGTAGATGCATTTAAACGTGCTTAAGAATTGAAAAATGCCAATTCAATTTTCTAGTATCAGTACATTTCTGTATAATTTTTACAGTGATATTAAAGAACTTTCAGATGATGTATTGATGCATAGAGCCACTCTTATTCCCATTCTACATCACTTGTAAAGAACTTCAGCATAAAAAAGCCACAAAAATAAGGACAGCTATTTTGCATATTATTTCTTATTTAAAAATAAACAAAACAACTAAAAAAACAATTTTCTTGATTTTCCTCACACTTTAACTAAGGAATAGTGTTTTAAGGTTGAATCTTATTACCACAAAGTAACTCCAACTGTGATATGAAAACTCATCCTGCTGAACAACTTGGCCACATGGCAACAACTAACACCTTAATTCAATGTATAAACTACAAATATCTGCCCTGAGTTTCTCACAGTTGTGGAATATCATGCAAATCTCTAAAGCAATCCTAAGGGCTGCTTTCTTGCATGTTGAAATTACATTTCAAGAAAGATAAACAGCAACAGCTGTGGTAAGAAGTAACTAGCAGCTTCCTCGATATTGAGTGGAGTAGAAAGAACAATAGTGACTTTGAAATATTGTGGAGTTAAAGTTACAGGTACAGGGCTGCCAACTTTTCACCAAAGCTTGGAGTGAGATTTGGAAATAGTTTGGACAGGCCACCTTTGTCAGGGTTAGATTGAAAGGCTGTGAGGATAGGTGCAGCTATCGGTTGTCGGTTTTTAGAGAATTTAACTGAGTGGATCGTGGCAAAATCCAGACAAAGTGGCAAAATAGAACAGTCAATGTTAATAGAACAGTAGATGTTACTGAATAACAATAAGTTATCTGTAGATATGTGTAACATTTAAAAAAATATATACATCATTTTTTATATTCTGGAGATTTTTAGAGAATTGAAGTAAAGAAGTACGGGCCCTACTAAAATAATTGTATCCTAAAAATACTGTAAACTAAAAATTTCACAACTGTGTTTATTATTTTTCTATGCAGTTCAAGTAAAATGAACAATGAGGAACTAATAGGCAATTACTGGATTACTGGCACTAATACAGGAACAGTGCAATCAAATCTCGAATATTTGGTGATAGGCTGAGGATTAAAAAATCTTAACTCATTATCTTATTAAGTTTTCTTTCAATTGACAAAACAGCTAAATAATCATGACCTTTTAGGAGGCTGTAGATGGCTGCAACGAATGATTATTTTGCAAATAGACTAACCTGTCGATTAGTTTTTTTCAATTAATTGATTTATCATTGGATAGCCAAAGGTTAACGCAATGGGTCACTCTGTCAGCTAAATACATGTTTTAGAGTCTCTTTATTGCAGTTAGGGATGAATGGATCACTAAGTTATTGGATTTTTATCAGCATGATATTTATAAGTGGAATGGAGTTGAGTTTTAATTGTGAAAAAATTGTGGATATGGAGTGTGAGCGTGTAAGGACACTGAGAAGTAAAATACAGATACTCAAAAAATACTGAAGTTAAGTCACCAAGTTAATGTACTAAACTAATTAAACATTAGAACTAAGTAGTTTTTCATTTCAACAAGTCTTTCAGGCATGATAAACATTACTCATAACACTCGCATTCTGGATTTGATATGTTCTCTGTGTTCATCTGCTCGGTCTGCTGCTTCTCTCCTTGTATCGGGATCGATTATTAAGGTCTTGTCATACCCGGAAGAGAAAGAAGAATATCGCGTCCAAGATGGTGGCCACCAGAAGAGGAGGACGCGTGAGCTCTCCCACCACAAACGTAGAGGAAAAACAGTCAGTTGTTCAGGTACGTGTTGTAGATAAAAGCATTTAAAGCTGGAAACACATCAAAGACTCTATGGAGGTTTGGTCGGTGTTAATTTCAAAGTGTCTCGTGGCTGTTTGTTCACGCGCGTGGATCTGCCAGTTCTTCACGTGGATGAGATCTGAGGTTACATGTGTTTTCAAAACAGAAGCTACTGGAAAACAAAACAAAACAAAATACTTGGACGGAGTAGCTAAATGATAAAAATGGATTCAGACATGAAAGGAGGCTCTGTAAACATGGTTTCTGAGGAGGATTTTAGAAATACCAAAATCCACTGATCTGGTCTTAATTTATTTACTGTCTCGTCAATTCTTATTAGCTTGAGGATAATATAGACTCCTCTTCTTGACTAATAACAAAATAAACTTAAATAAAGCTGGTAATGAGTTATATTTATTAGTAACTTACATTAGATTTGGTAAAATATGAAAATAAATCACATTTTGTAGCCACTGAATGCTAGTTTGGAATAAAAAAATAAATAAAAATACATTTTTAAAACTTTTTTTACTTTGTCTTTTATTTTAAAACAGTTTTACTGTCGACTGGAAGGAAATGCCAAACAGAACTTCTTTTTTTTTTTTTTAAATCACACAATGATATTTGCTTCCATTTATAACAGAGGTGCAACAGCTGTGCTCTGGCTGCTTTAATATAACTAGTATAGTTTCAGTATTAAATGTTACATTATTTTTAAACATGCAATATTAATTGATATTTTTGTATAAGGTGAAAATAGCTACAATTAATGTCAATATAATATGTAATTTTGATATACGTTCCTATAGTAGTCCTGTTATTTAACATGATAACACCACTATGCTGTTTTGTTTAGTTACCATATGCTGGGAATCTCATGTTGAGAAATGATTCATGGTTGCAGACCTGAAAGGAAGACGGGTGGCTGTGTTGACGGTTTAAAATCAATTTCAAATATCTCATATAATCTTGTCATGGGTTTAACGGTATTAAATTTAACTCTTGTTTAAATGATGAAGATGGATGCACAAATGGGTGGAAGACTTGACTAAAATACCCATTTTCCACCTTATTAATTTAGTTGTGGTTTTCAAATGAACTGGAGTCCAACAAGCTGATATCTTGTTAATTAGTGAAGCGATCTGTTATCCAGATCCAGCCCACAGTGGGCTGCTCCAAAGATGGCCGACGCTCCCTGTCTTTAATATAGCAGCAGTCCTTTCTTTCATTCCATCTATTTGTCCATCCCTTTGTCTTCCCTTCTCATCCTTCTGTCCTTTTTACATGTTTGCTTTAAACATTTGTTTTCTTTCATTCCTTGGGTCCTTCTTACTTTTCTTTTCTTCCTTGTTTTTTACCTCAAATCTTTCCTTCCCTCACCTTTATTCCATTTTTATGTCCTTTCCCTTACTTGCATTTGTCCTCCTAAGTTTCCTCCTGTTCTTTCTTTTCTGGTTTATTTGCTTCCTTTTATCTGTGATGCATTCATGGTAAATATCTGCAATTGCTACTTTAAGATGAACACAAAGGACGGAGTATTCTGGAAATTTTAGTCTGGATGATTGACATACAGAGGATGAGATTTTCCTTCCTTTTGAAGGACATCTACTATATTCTGCTGACCTGTTATGTCCCTATACTTGTAAAGCCACAAGCCTTTAAATAAATATAAATAAGCCCTAAGATAATGTTACTGTGTAAAGAACTTTATTTTTTAATGATACTGTAGTTCATGGAGATATATCTCTATTAGGGCTGGGCGATATAGAAAAAAAGCTTATC